ACTACCCAAATTTGACTAAGATAGCAGAGGTAACATCTAGGTGCTCTGGAAATGAGCCAAGCAGTCCTCACCATATTTAATCAGGCTCTAAATTGATACACCCATCCAGAAGACAGCACCAGCTTGCAACACAGTTGGTGTTGTACTGGGACTGCAGGGCAAAAGGGAGAGCCTTCTTCTCTGGGTAACCCCTTTTACAACCACACCAGGATACAGACGGTGGTCCTTCCCTAGAGGAGAGAGGATTTCTGGAAAGTCGTTAACACTCAGTTCTATGAAGGATCCGTCTGTTCCTTATCCAAGTATTAAATCTGCTCAGTCCTAATTAGCACAAGATCTGTGATAGGATTAGGGCAGATTCTGCCTTCCTCTTCCTGCCTAGGGCCACCAGCTGCCAAACACCCCTCCAGGTTAGCGTCCTGCACCAGGCAGTGGCTAGCTTCAAGGGAAACAAAGTGAAGCAGAGGGAATGTTTCATTCTAAACTCTTTCAATCTGAGGCAGGCTTTGGCTCTGAAACAGGAAGGTTTGTTTGCTTTAAATCTTATTTAACCATGGATGTTTTCATTATCCACATGCATGTCACACTCTTATCCTCCTAAGCTCTTGCCAGAGTCCTCAGTCCATCTGTGGAACAGAGCTTTGATTAGCCATACACTTGTTGCCTTTCAAGCCCTGTTGGCTATTGCTTTGACCTTGTTCAACAAGACAGGAATCAGGAGGAGCTGTGTATTTCCTCTGCATCGTTGATCCTTCCATAAGCCTCTACTTCAGTGCCCCAGCTTTATATCAGAGTCATTCCAGGCCTCTATCCATCTCCACTGGCTACCTCAGAAGCAACTCCCCTCGTTCCCACAATCCTAAAGCCCCAGTGTTAAACCAAGCACTCGGGAATCAGAGATGAGTGTTCAGCCAAGAAACACAGCCAGCCAGATGGTTTCTGAACCATAAGCATTTCTGCCCTAGAATCTGTAGGTGCCTTCTGGGTCTAACATCACCAGACTCACAACCCTTTGCCACCTTCCACCCTCTGGTGTTGCTGTTTAAGCTGGTGTCTTTCCCTCTGCTCTTTACCCTGTCTGAGAGCAGACCTGTCAAGGTCAGCATTTCAGGCCTACAGCTGGCACGGCAGCACCAAGTGAATTACACCTCACTAATGTATTTGGTATGCAGCTCCACTGAAACTCTGCCACTTCTCACTTAAATCACAGCTGGGCCCTGCTCAGGAGGAGGAACTGGGCCAGAACAGGGCCAACTCCTAGAAAGACATTCCCAGAGTGCCTTCCAAAGCCGTAGGCCACTGAAGCTGCTAACTGCAAAATCTGAAATAAACTGGACCAAGTCAGCTCCGTTCAAAAACCACCCAAGAACAGAGATGGTCCAAGGCAGGAACAGTCTATGCGGGGAGCAATTCACAACAGTTGCCCCCTCTGAGCATGGTAACAGGGTGCTAAATCCCCTCCTAGCCTGCAGCTGCACTGCTCGGATCATCTCCTTCTCCAACTTCCCCCAGGCTCTCTGGAAAGGTAAGTAGTGCCTGCAGTTAACAGAAAAGCTCATTTAGTCAGAAGGAGCCCTAAAGAGAGAACATTAGCTCTATGATACGGCTCAGTTACGCTTTCCTGGTGCATGCATTAAAACTCCCTCTTCTTCAAACTGATGAATAATCTGCGTCTCACAGCCCAAGGGAATATTTCTAATCTGGTTAGTGTTATTGCTGTTTGTTCATATTAAACACATCGTGCTTACTAAGCTATTTGTTCTGAGTCTCCAGAGAGAGAGTTCTGTGGGTTAATCGTACATATGTAAATCCAATTTCCTTTTATGCATTTTAAATGTGTTGTCTATTGGAAAACAAAAGGGGAAAGGGGAGAGGTGCAACAAGGACTTGTGCTGAACCCAGGGATGCTTCCTAGAGGCTCATTTCCCATAGGCTTCAATTTAGGGTTTAGAAGCACAGCAGGAAAATCTGTCAGCCAACCCATCTGCTCGTTCAAGAACTCCGCTGAAGAAAAATACTAAACAACAGTAACCCAACCTTCAGGGTTTCGAGAGCTGAAGCTGGCCACCTTTACACTTGAGTAGCTCAAGTTGAATGTCGGTCCCCCTCTGGTGGCCAACTGGCCGCAGTTAGCTTCTGTCAGCAGAGTAGGTCTGCCACATTGCTATCTGCCCCCGCACTGGGTCACCTTGAGCGTCCCTGTGGCCAGTGCATGCCTCTGCACAAAGGGCTGTTGGACAGCCTCACTTCAGAGCACAGAGCTGAGTGAGGGAGCGCAGCAGAATTGGGCACCAGTGTAGATGTCAGGAAAGTCTTCTAAAACAAGATTCATTACCACAACAGCCAGCGTTTGCCAGTCACTTAACTTCCCAGCCTTAGGGTTATCTCCCGCTAGGTCCTCTATTATTAATAGTATTAACAACGTAGCAGTAGGAGCCCTCAGCTTGAAACAGGAGTCCTTTGTGCAAGGAGCTATACAACCTCCAAACAAAGAGACACTGTCAGCTCTTTAGGATGAGGAATGAGCCACAGACAAAAGACAAAAATAAACAGAAAGAGGTGGGGGAGTAGAAGGAAACAAGACAACACTGGTCAGCATAAGAGAGTGGTCCAGCGAGCTGTTGTCAACAGGTGAGAAAACTCGGTACAAAAACAACAGCTCAACATCTTACTTGAAGACACCAAGACGACATTTTTGTACTATTACTTTTAGCTTCAATTGTTACCTGTGCATTACATATTGCTCCCAAATATTGGAAGGACCTAGGAGAGGGAAGGCTGTGCACTGTTGCTGACTGCTCTGATCACATAGACAAGGGAGAAGAGCCTGCCAGTTTTCCGAGTAGGAGTCTGAGTCTGTTGCACTCCAGCAATAAAGGCCTCCACAAAGCTAAGCTAGCCTCTAAACAGCAAACCATCTCTCCTGACAAATCTGAAACCCCCAGAGCTGGTTTCATCATCCTCCATAAAGGACTGCAGAGAATTGTGTTTCCTTGTGTTTCTTCCTAACTGCAGTAAGTGGCACTATCTCATCTTAAGGCAACCTCACACTTTTAGCTACAGAAGCACAAGAAAACCCTAAGCAGCTGTTCATTCTGGTAAAAGATCAGATTTTTAAGATTACTCAAAAAATTACATCAGTCTACAGACCTTCGGCATTATGTTAGCGTAAATCTCTGAAATTAAGGGAGGGGTATGGGCCAACACTATTCTCATAGCTTATCAGGAAACTGCCTCAAGAGGGAGAGAAGAATTTGGTTTTGGCCACTGCAGAGTCACTCCCCACAAAACCCACCCCATCCTACTCTAGTCTTCACGTGCCTGGAACAGCATTAGACCAGTTCTAGTTTCTCTATCCCTCATTTGGCAGAAGAGCTCCACTTTCTTTGTCTGTACTCATTGCAGCTTTATACCAAAAGCAGTTTGGCTCTCAGCCTCACTCCCCACTTCCAACTCAGTGTGCAATTGCCCATGCCCCAGCTTACTTTGTAGCACACCAGCCCTGCAGAAGGGTAGCTGGAAGAGACTGATTGAAAATTTTGGATGAGCTTCAGCTACAGCTGTTTTGTTTTATTGCAAAAAAAGTTATAGTAAACTAAGTCTAAAAATGAACAAGTCCATGCAGTAACACCTCCCTGCTACAATGAAGTTTCATGCTCTTGAGAGCATGAGATCAGGGTTTCTCACGCATTCAATGAAAAAAACAAACAAGGAAAGTTGAACAGCGAGATTTTAAAATCTCGGATTCTGTACAGCAAGGCCGATGCCAAAACAGGCTGAGGTTCTGGTGGACTTTGCTGTTTCCCGTAAGTGGTTTCCTTTTATAGTTCCCATAATCACATGTTCAAGCTTTTCTTGCTCTCATGTGCCGGGTCCTCAGACACAAGATGGTAACAGAACAGCAAAATCATACAAAACCTAGGAAGTTCACTGTGGGAACAAGGAGTCGCTGCCTAGTTGAACTGACCAATTTGGCCATAACATTATGAAAGTGACCAACTTGCTCTTTACATTATGAAAGTGAGAAGAAATCTTATCCAAATAAAGCATCATTTCCCAAATGCTTCACTCCAGATTTCTGAAGACACTCTCCCAGTAGTTCTAAGATCCAGGCAAAAAGATGCTGATTTCGTAATATGCAAGAACATCTGCCTCGTTGTATGGTGGAACACATGCAAAGAGCTAATGCAACACTGACTGAAGAGGGGCCGAATGTTTGTACAGCCTAGGGAACAAAACATGTTTTCACAGCTTTATAGGCAGCAATGCTAACGGACACAAAAATCACATTCCAGAATCTTTTCAAGTTGAGAAGTTATGATTTTAATCCTTAAGCCACAAAGAAAAAAAAAAACCCAAGGAAAACCAGTGATAAATGCAGAGCTTTTCATTAGAGCTGGGAACAGCTCAGAGAATCACAGCAATTTGATATTGTCCCTGATGGCAACCAGCTGTCAACTTATTAACTACTTGCTTGGATGTTTTAGCAGAAACTTGCAGGTACATTGTTTCCAGCCTGCAATCTGAAAGTATCTTGTACAACTTCACCGACACAAAGGATTCAAATATCCACTCTCCTGGCTTCATCTAACCCTCCTGACAATATAGTTAAGCACAGGCAGTATCAATACCTGCAGCTCAAAGTAAGAGACAGGCATTACACAGTGAGATTAAAAAATTATCTCATCAACTGTGTTACTCATTTAGAAAACAGATTTGTTAAAATACTTTCTGCCCATTTTCCACCCTACTGCATAAAAGCCTCTGAGCAGCCTGCAAGCCCCAGTGCAGTCTCTTCACGGGAGCTCACAGGTCCTGAGTTCACTCAGGGTACTGAGAGGCCACGAGTGGAGGATGGCTCCTGCCCCTTGCAGCAGGCCAGCTCAGTGAGACCACTAAAGACCTGAAGAGGCCCTTTGCCCACCCATGGCACTAACCAGCTGGTTCCAGCTTCCCTCTGTACTTCCCCAAAATAATTCTGAGTCAACAAGGCAGCATTTTTTAAATATTGTATTTATTATACAAACTATTTACAAAATCAGCTACTACAACCACAGGCTTCCAAACTTTGGTGGAACTCTGCCAGGAATTCACCAGCGGGAACTCAGATCTGACCTGTATCATCCACAGCTCCGGTTTCTAAAAGCATGCAACATGGCCCGCAGATGCGGGCTGAAGGCAGGCCCTATGCACCTCAAAGCAGCTTCAGGAAACATGGAACCTGTCTGAGATGGTACCAGATGGTACTAAAGCTTTCTACAGAAGTGCCTCTATTAAGTGGGAATAAAGGATCAGAAAAAAAAAAAAAGTGCAAGCGCAGCATGGGCAGCATAAAGAGTGAACATGCTGGAGAAGAGTACAGAGCTAGACACAAATTTAATTACGCTGTGATGGAGCCCAGGAACACAGGGCCAGCTATGGGCCTATGGAAACAACATACATGGGTTTCATTGACTAAGAGCATCCATCACAATTCTGACTTTCCTTGTTTTATGAAGAAAATCATTGGCATAGATATAGCTGCTGAGAAGTGAGGGGTGCTGGCTGCAATGCACTGTAAAGCATGTAGGAGCTCTTTCAAGCAGAGGAAGTCTGCCCACTGTCCAGCTACTTTGTCCTCAGAGTACAAACAGTCCAACTCAAAAGAAGAGAGAAGATTCCTGAGGAAGATGTCATCGGCTGAGTCTGCCCATAGCCACAAGGCTGGAAACATCCTCGCCAGGTAAAACTGCAAGACAAGGCTGCAACATGGGAACAGCACCAAGCTGTGCCTCCCAACAAACAGGAGTTAAGCCAGGCATCACTGCCTCCTCTCGGTCCCTGGAGAAAGCAGTGAAGTGGTGGCACAGAGAACACAGGAGCTGTAACTGTACTGTCCACAAAAGCCATCCATAGCGTAGATAAAATGGTACCAAACTCTTCACCCAAAGAAGGTTGGGAGTTTACAGAAGGGAGCCTGCACTAAAAAAAAGGGAGCACAGCCACTACTAAAGTGATCTGTCAGAGCGCAAATCTGGCAACTCTCAAGCTGGCAGTCTCCCAGCACCTCAGTGCCAGTGAGGGAATGAATTCACAAGGCTAAGAAATCCCCCTGAGTAGTCTCAGTGCTCAGCTGGCTGCTTTTTGGCACCATAATGGCTTTTTTTTTTCCTGCACAGAAGTGACACACACAGCCCAAGAGTAGCTAAGAAGCTGCCTTAATAAAGAGATTTTCTAGATGTAGAATGTTTCCCCAAATTCCCAGTCAATTCAGCTAACCTATATTGGAAAAGCACAAACAGTTGTCTTACCTCTATACTGTGCAGCATTTTGCCTAGGGCAACTCAAGAACAGCAGAAAAAGGGCTGAAGAGGATGATGTAACTTTTTATCTAACATTGTGTTCTAAAGTTAGCTCAGAGATGCCAGTTTGAGAGCCCATTCTGGAAAAAATCTTGCAACTCCATAATCAGTGAAAGCTTACGTTGCAGGCAGTAGCAACGCAGGTTTCTCATGCTTGCCGGCTGCCAACAGGTCTTCAGCTCCTGACCTGAACTGACTAAGGGACTGTTGAAAATATAAAGATCTCCTTGAATTTTGCTTCACTGAAGAACCCATCAAGATTACCAGACTCCCCTTCCCTTTATTTCCTTGGGAAGGGCTGAACAGACTGCCAGCAATAACACATCCCAATCACAACCTCACTTCTCATGCTAGTTTGTCCACCCTAATCCCCACAAGCCAGAAAATGGTGTGATATACTACCCATGCAGGTTGTTCAGTGACGTTCTAGTCAGCATTTTGTGCTGGAAAGCACTGAATGGAACAGCAAGAAAGGAGAGCTTAAGAAAGAGAAGGTAGGAAGATTGGAAGGAGAGGAAGTCAGCTGCTCACCAGGCAGCAACACCCCCCCGGAAACTCTGCCTGAAATGAAGTAGAGAAAGAGAAGCCTCAGGCTGCTGCATGACAGAGGTAGAAGCCAAGACTCTGTGGGATGCCAGGGCAGAGGTACCAGTTCTGCCCAGTATTGCCACCCCAGCTGCACTTCTGTACAAAGACAAGCCCAGTGCACACTTTAGCTGCTTACAGACCTATCACTGTTACTACATACATACATACCCTGAAGGTGAATGTGGGACAGGCATTGGTGCTCAGCATTGAGGGATCATGCTCATGCCCATCCTCTCTCTCCTGGGGAAGGGAAAGGAAGGCAAGGGCATGGGACAGCTTCCTGTGCAACATCATAAATCACTGTCAGAAACATTCAGTGGAGGAGAAACTCCTCTTCCAGTTCATTTGCAGAGGCTCATTACTAGCCGCTGCTGGAGAAGGACGCTTCTACTGCTAGACCCTGGTGGAGGTAGTACAGGATCACTGTCAGGGCCAGCGCTTGTGCTCTGATGAGACTGTTCCCCCCTTCGGGTTATTCCTTCCAGTAGATAACTGCCCATTTTTGATCTCTGGCAGAGGCAACAGACAGCAGCATCCAAAACAAGATGAAGGAGGAGAACCAGAAACCCTCTGGGCCAGGTGCTGAAAGAAGGGACAGCCCTGTACCCTTCGTGAGCCATTAAGTTAGATAGCTTTGGGGAGCATGACAGGGGGACTTGAGCCAAGGCATGGAAAGTTACTAAGGCTTCTCACAAGCCAGGTTTCCAGCAGAGCTCCAAGCTGGTCTTCCCCCTTCCTCCCAGACAACTAGAATAAAGGCAGCTGAGCAGATCTTCTGTACCTCACTGAAACTTCTGCTCATGGGCTTTGTCTCTTCACAGAGGGAAGGGTGTTCAAGGTGCAGGGAAATCCAGTGCAATACCTTCCTGATGGACGCACCACAATGCTTTTGCTGTTCCACACTGAACCAAAAGGAGAATGAGGGAAGGGGAAAAGATGAGCTCTTGGTGACATACTGTGGATACAGAAAGGCCACGCGACATCTTCTGGACGACAGATTGCTTTACTCGGAGATCGTGCTTTGCCTCCATTGCCCATGTGAAGGGAAGGAGAACAAGCAGTGGATTGAACCTGGGCCTTGCCACGAAGGGCCAGGAGGCTGGGTGGGCTCCTGGAAAGGGGAAATCACAGCATGCCAAAGCCCTCACAACCCTCACTGATGGCTAGCTGCAGCATCTCATGCACTTCTTCATAGGAGTCATAAGTTGGGAGGCACAACTGGTTAAAACTGGAAGACAGAAAAGAAAAATTCCCTACAGACTAGATTCTGAGAGACCATCCCCATCAGCTGCTTGCAAATAGGCTGACAAGAGGGCCACACACATTACATTTTATACACTGCTTGCCCACCGCAAATAGCTGGTGGTGGCTTCTCAAAGCAAAAGGCAGTAAGCTCCCCCACCCTGGGGTACTTACCAAGTGTGGGCTGTCGGCAGTGTACTGTGAGTTGGAGCCGCAATGATCTGGAAAGATGGACAGAGCGCAGCAAACCCTCCTGGGGGAAGCTGGGAGGAACCAGTTGTGAACTGCAGGAGCCTGGCCAGCTCTTCCTGTGTGAAACTGGAGACCACAGTCCAAAACCACCTCATGACCTGACAGGAAACAGGAAAGGCAAAACCAGGTCAGGCAAGCAAATCAAAAAAGAGTAGGTCACAAGAGCAGCAGACAATCACCCTTGTAAGCGAGTGCTCTACTATCAGTCATAATTAGCTGTTTTATCAGGCTGAAACGCAGAGGCAAGGATCACATAGCTTCTTACCAGTTAAGTGTTGTCTCATGTCACTACCTACCACTACCACTTTCCTTTAAAAAAGCACTTCTGCTCTCCCCATAGACTTTTTTTTAAAAAAAAGAAATATCTGTATAGGCAAGCTAGGGAGGTTAACAGTACATACAGCAGCACATTTCCTTCCTGCGCTATGCTAATCTTTTGGGTCTTTGTTTGCTTGTTTTTTTAATTTTTTTTTAAACATCATCTGGTACTTTTGCAGGAAGGTGGAACAGGAACTTGTTCTGCAACCTGTTTTCATCTTGGATGTTTTGGCAATTTCCATTATTTTTCTAAAGGAAGCTAACTGCAGTCCCAGGTGCTCCCCTCCCCATTCCCCACCGTCGAGAAAAGCGGGGATGGGAACAATTACAGGGTACAAATTTAGACTACTACATCAGGAATGTCTAGCACAGCACTTAATTCCCAGTACTCCCTCTCAGTCTGAGCTGCAATCATGATCTTAAAGCATCCCTAAGAGATAGGCATATCACCATGAATATCTTCAGCAGCATAACTTCCACCAATTCCTCTTGACTCTCTGCTGCTCTTAATGAGAGCTTTGTTGGCTTTTCTTAAAAAGACCACTGCTGTAGTTGGGCTAACTGATTTCAGCAAGCAGGAAGGAGAAACTCTTCCACTTACCTTCTCACGGAAATGCCAAGATCCTCCTACCACTACAGCATGTGCCTTGAAGTCACAGACACTGATGTCCCCCGTACCACACATAAGCAACTGAAAGGCAAGAGACTGCAGTAAGGAGGTCAGGACCCCAGGAAACTCAAAGACAGCTACTGTTCAAATTATAAATGCTTAGAGAAGAAACATTCTGGCTTTATTTCAGATCCAAAAAGCTCTTTATTTCTCAGAGACAAGAGTAAGTAGGGGTAGGGATGCTTAGGAAGGTAGCAATTACCTCTAGCTCATTCTCATCAAAAATAGCCAGGAGGTTCTCAGGAACTAGCTCATTAAGACCTGGAAGAGAAGAGGAGAGGAGAGGAGAGGAGAGCAAGCGAGTGCTAGCCTCGGGGACATAAAGGTGAAAGGACTGGGAAGCACACAGCACGGTTACCTTTCAGGAAGTGATCCACCTCCTCTCTAACCTGATTGGCCAGCCTGTACTGCGCAAGCAGGTTCAAATACAAGATTTTGTTTTCATTGGTTACTGGCAGCTGAGCCCCTCCTGTTACAAGTTCAACTACCTGAAAACAGGAGATCACCTGACATGAGTATGAGCAACAGCATCCCCCAGACACAAACTCCCAACTGAAATGGACCCTCCTTGCTACTGCCCAGAGTGAGCTCACTTCTCCGGGGCACATGGCACAGTTCCCAGGCTCCCCTGCTACAGGTGGAAGGGGTTAAACTGTCCCACTTTCAGGAATGACTCCCTCACCTTCTCCAGCTGTCCTGTTTTGCTATATTTCTCTTCAGCAAAGACCAGATCCATTTCACTCACATCATTGTTCAGTATGAAACAAACCTTGGATTTATAGAATTCTGGGTCATCTGTTTCAAAATACTGAGAGAGGAAAAAAAAAAAAGGCAGGAGTGTATGAGGCAGAAAGAGGGAGAGAGAGACAAAAAATTAATATATATGGCTAACCAGGATTCCGGATCTTCTATTACACCAGCATTCAGCCTCTCCTCACAACCCAATACATGCTTCAGACAGGACAAGGAACCTTCACCTTGTAATGCATACGAAGTCCTATGATCTGAGCCAGGAAAGATCGGGTGAAACGAGCTCGCACCAGTTGTTTGTAAGCACCTCCCAGAGATGATTCATAAAGACACTTCCCCACTAGGCGGCCTGCAAACTCATAGACTTTCAGTCGTAAATGTGGGGGGCGCCCTGGATTCGGATGAACCTGCAAAGAGGAAGGAAATTAAAGTAGCTGAGTATTAGACAAGGCTAGCACAAATAGTAGGAATAGCATCAGTTCAAGTTGCTGCATCTCTCAGGCTGCCCAAGGAGCTTTGGAATAGTATTTTCAGAGCCAAGCAGTAGAAATGAAATGCCTGAGCCTGCCTAGGAGGAATGCAAAATGCTCCATATACACAGGCCAGAAACTGAGAGCAGAAATGGATTCTGAACGATTCAGACATAACAAAGCCTCTAGACACTCTGATGCCATCTTCTCTTCTCAGAAATCCAGCCTTCCCTGCTAACTAGCTCTCCTGTTCAGGCAGCCAATTCTTTGACACTTCAATAGGGCAACATGATCCAGCAAAGCTTTGAGAAAGGCACATGAAGTGACCGGACAGGCCTGCTAAAGCAAGGGCAAAGTTGCAGACTTCCTAATGAATTTACCAGTTAGCCAGCAGCATGCCAACACACCTAATTTCACCTATCCAGCATAGGAAACTGCACACTCACCAGGGCCTGGTTGTTATCACTGAAACGGGTAAAGAGTTGATCGGTGGTGTCAAATAACGCCTTACAGATGAGCTCAAACCACTCTCTGCGTGGACCTCCCCAGTCCAGAGCTACGAAATAAAACAAATTTGGTCATCCATGGGACACAACTAGTGCTCAGTATTCTGCAATCTTTGCCTAGATCAGCATTATTCAATTTTGTTTTTGTTTTTAAAGGAGCTTGCCTCCATTGAGGGAATGCAAACACTACAGCTAGTCTCTTTTGCCAGGACTGGGCATCCTTCTGCCAGCCCCTTGGCGCTTTAAGGAAATGTTATCCTGGCAAAGTTTAGCTGTAGTTCAGATCCAACAACAACTAGACACGTGAGCAATCCTGATCTTGGCCACAGATACCAGGAAAACAAACTCTTAGGCAAAGAACTATTGTTTCCAGTTTAATTCCAAAAATTCTCCCTACTGTTAAGATATCCATAGAGTGAACAGGCAGACACATTTGCCTAATTCATTTTCCTGCAACTATCCTTGTATCACATTCTCGCTACTAACAGGATTTTTTATTCTCTCTCACATGACCTATGGTTTCACGTTCAAATTCCCAAAACAAGGCTGAGTTAGCTCATACAATAAATGTAACGACACAAGGGACTTACCAAACCTCCCTCCTCACGACATTCACCCTCTCCTTAGCAAGTAGCACCCTGCATCAACTTAACCACCATTTACAGGTGGTTTGGGGGAGAACCATTTGCACACAAAGGAAGAATGGCTTTGTAACAAAAAACAGTAGACAAGGATGCAAGAACTCTAGGCTCTGCTCCCAAATCCAGTCCTGACAGATAGTCTCTCTCTGGGCCTCTGCTCCCTATGTATAGGGAGTAACACCAGCAGGATAATTTATTAACATGTGTGAGAAAGTGACAGGGCTGGAAGCCACGACGGACAGAGGTACTACAAGAAACCAGAACTGCAGTCTAACAAACAACTCCATCGTCACTTCTTTCATTCCCTCCTCAAGCATATTCACAGGAACACGTTAACTCACCTTCTTCATCCTGAAAAATCACTTCAAAGTTTTTGCTCCAATCAGAAATAGAGAAATTTCGTGTTGCTTTCAGAGACTGCAAAAAAAAAAAAAAAAAAAAAAAAAAGGAAAGTAGCAGCAGCTATTACTGTTTGGCACTCAGTAACCAGTATAAAATCCTTCACATGTGGATGGGCAATTTAAGCAATATAAAACATAAGAAATACAGTCTAGTAGTTTAAAGCATAAAACTGTGAATTAGGAACTCCTAGGGTCTAACTTTTACTTATCTAAAGCCACAAAAGCCAATTCCTCATTTTCCGTTAGAAAAGTAGAAGTAGGAAAGAAGTAGAAAAACATGATTCACAAAAACAGTTCATCTTAAAATCAGTATGTAGTTTAGCAACAGTCTTAGCACAGCCCAGATGTATCCCTCTCAAAGCTGCAGTGCAATATTGTGTAAAGTATGAAAATGCCTGTGGGTAGGAGCAATCTTTGTAAAGCGGTCTCTGCCCACAAGTCAGATTTAAAAAAGAAACCTTTTAGAGAGCATCAGAAAATAGCCTGAAGGGTTCATCAAGTTTATACTTCCAGCAAGTCACGATAAAGTAACAAAACCCTTCAAGTGTCTAGCACTACTTCTGTCCTGATTCTGGATTTCAATTAAAGAAAAAGCAAAAGTTGCACAGCAGTCCTGAAGAAAACAGTTAGCTCTGACTAGCTGATCTTCAAATAAATTGGAACATCATGCTAGTCACTCCTTTGGACTAAACACACTGGTCACATTCATTGCATCTATCAACTTTGTAAACTAATGCTTACATTTATTATTTTAGCACTTAATTTATTTCATTTCACCAGGCTTTAACACCAGTGCTAATGATAGTGCACCAATTTCCAAAATAGCAGGGAAAATAAGTCATGGAAATACTGCTAGAAGTGAAGTCATTTTGTAACAAGCTATTAACTGAAACATAATCTTGTAAACAGTGTAACTTTGTACGTGCAGAAAACATTCCAAAATACAGATTTACTGAGTGTAAATCAAGGAAAATCCTAACCAGTCCTGCCTCCCCCAGAAATGTTCTTTTCCATCTTTATAACAATTCTATTATGAGACATGTGGAAACAATAACTCAGGACAACTGCCTCTTCTGTGTATGCAGTAATTTAGAATGTCAACTGAGAGCTGTATTATATGAATGTCTCTTTCTTAAGTTTGGTTTGGGAAACATGTCAGCTCCGGCCAGCTCCAGCGAAGACTCAACTCCAAGGTTCTACAGACTATTTTATCATTGCGCAGATGGGCTTGTAGCAGTGGTTCAGTGCAAGAGTTTCATGCATGCAGCTTGGTATTAACTCAGTTGAACTCTCATGTCAGGTAACAGCTTTGTAGCAAAAAATAGTAAATAGGGACTCAAGAACTCCAAGTTCCAATCCCAAATTTAATCCTGATAGACATAGTCTCTCTCTAGGCTCCAGGACTCCATGTAAAGTGGGGACAGGATAGCACCAGCTGGAGAATTTCTACTTTTATAGGTTATGTAAGCATCTAACCTAGACACCTCTCAGGGCTTCCTTTACTCTCTGAAGCGTTCCTTAAAAAAATGTAACAGAGCCAAAGCTTCCTAATTACTTAGAGTCTGACGTGATCTCACTGTCTGCGGAGAAGAAATAGAGCATCGCACAGGTAAGGGCAGTTACCAGGCCTGAGCGCAAAAGCACTACCTTGCAATTTTTTCTTCTTCTTCCTGACTCAAGCAGACTACCAGTGCCTACCATGAAACAAAAGGATCAGACATTTTTGGCATGGTTGCCCTAGCACATGTCGGTTTGGATTTCATTAGGCATGGAGCAGAAAATAAAGGATGGAGGAAGCACTGGCCTTAGCTGAGGTGACCTATACACTCACCGACTCCAACAGACAGTGACGGCTGACCTTCAGTGTGACCTTTGAATGAGGTCTTTTCATATGCACCTGACGCAGCTCCCGCTGAAAGAAGTTCACTTTGTCCTGGAAGGTCTCTGAGCCTCCTGAAAACAATGACAGTTTGGGTCAGGCCTGTGCTGCCAACAACTCAAACATCTAGAGGGCATTTCTAAGCTTAACTGCACAGGTCAGCATTATAATTCAAGGATGAGTTTGTTACAGCAAGTTTTAGAGGCAGTTTATGGTTAGTTTTGCAGACATTCAAATGCTCACAGGGGTGCGTTCAAAGAGAGCGACAGAAAAGCCAAACTGAAAAGAAACCACTGGCATTATGAAATACATTCACTGGAAGCGTCCCCAGAAACAAAACTTGAACTGCAAGAACTATGGAGTTCTCAGAGCTCATTCAATGCTGACAATCTCCATTCACAAGGAGACTCAAGTACTAACTTCCTGACTACCGCACCACCTCCCAGCCTCTTTACCTATGTTTTTATGCAGAGAGCGAATGAAAGTGGCTGCCAAGATGTTCCTCTCCTTGCAGCTGAGCTCCACAGGGGGCTGGATCCCATCATCCACCACCAGTGTCAGTAGTTTGTGCACAGGGTCAGGACCAAGGTATGAAAACTAGCAGCAAAAAGACGCAAGAAAGGGTAAAACTGTCATGCAGAAGGCACAGCGTGTTCAGTAGACAGAGCAACACCACCTGCGCTCTCAGACTTTCTCTGCTCTCACCCATGCAAATGCAGTTAACAGGAACACTACTTTCAGTGTCTGAACTCCATCTGGGAGGCTGCCTCAAACATCAGTCCCTAGGCTAGGGCCTTCAGTGGGGACAGTTACAACAGAGTTACGGGGAAAACAGGAGAAATGTAAAAGGGATCAGGATTTACACCTAGGATTGGGAAAAAAGACAGGAAGAAATGATGCAACTAGTTCCTACTCATACACATTAGCAGAATTTAGGCACTAAGAGGCAATTCCAGAGTCTGAATCTTACACAAGAGAACGTCACTTAGTGGGTATAAACCCTTCTCTCCAAAGGAGAGACTCATTCACAAAGATCACAAGCCAGCAACATGGAAGATCCAATGATACCTACATAGAGATGGACTCACCTTTGTACCAGGACACACTCTAAAGGTGAAAAGGCGCCAAGGAATTATCTTCAAGTAGAATTCTTTTACTGAGAATTGCTGAGCAACCACAAGGAAAAGAAAATGCTGAAGGTCACATATCTATTAAAGCTTTTCCCTGAAATACTTAAGTACAGGACAGACAAACCCACTAGACAGACCTCCCTCCAACCCCCCAAGGGCAGGTTTCTGCTAATTTGGGTGGCATCTTCCTCCGGTATGACACAAAAGCCTTTAAAGTCGGCAATAGCCCACAGAACCAAAATGAACTTGTCAGTTAAGATTTTACTGCACACACTTGCAATGCATGTGAGATACCAGCGTGTTCAGTAAGCCGTGGTGTTCAGTAGAACACTTCCAGTCTCCCTGGAGGGTAAATTAAACACCCCTGAGAAGCTGAATTCAGGACAAGACCACAATGCATTAACAAAAAGGCTCCGGGGGGGGGGGGGGGGGGGGAAGAAAAAAAAATTTTTTTATTACTTTCTAATTTTCAGAACAGCAATTTGAAACAATTTTTAAAAAGCACTTGCAATTGCTAACTCTGGAAGATTTGCGGAAATTTCAGTGTGCACACATTTCGGCCAGAACAAACAACCACCAACCGTGGAATTGCTGCTTTCTGGAAAGCAATCTAAGACCAAACTTTAGCATCCTTAGACAAAACAGAAAGTCACTTTGAGCAGAGGGGTTGGACTAGACCTCCAGAGGTCCCTTCCAACCTCAACCATTCTGTGATTCTGTGATTTTCTGCACAAGCCTGTTCTAGCTGCAATCACTGGAAAGTATCAGCAGCAGCATTTCTCCAGGAACTGAACAAATATCAGCATCAGAACAGCAGCATCTTCAAGAAATAACAGCATGGTAACATTCACCTAACGCACTGGGCAGATGCTCTAGGCCTGTGTAGAGATATATGGTGATACAACTATGCAAGCATCAGAAATGCATTAACAACTTTGGCATCTAAACGGAACCTGCGATAATAACCATTTCTGACAATCTCCTTTACCAAGTAATGCCAATAGAAAGACTATGAAAGTTCAGAACGATTTTCCAGGAATAAAAAAGGACTACCAAACTCAAAAGGACCAAGTACTCAGTCAAAAATTCAATTTTTAGTGCTGCATGCAGAGATTTAAATATCCCTAGCCAACTTCCTTCAACAGGAAAACTGTTCCTGGATTAGACTTTTATATTGATATTTATCACCATATTTTTCAGAACTCATTCAAATTAATTAATAAAGTGAACTCACTAGTAGATTTTGTGGAATTGTCTACCCTTCTAGCTTCCTGAAATATTCACAGGCAACAAAAGGGGGTAACAGTTTATGCCAGCGTGGTTCTGCTGCAGGGGAATCATCAGTGCCTTTTATCTTGCTTTAATCCTGTTTCCTCTACTAACACATTTACCCTTTGTCCTTTGATTTTTCCCTTTTCTTTTCCCTGAAACACTCAAGGATAGGACAGACAAACCCATAAGGTCTGAGAAATGTCCTCCTCTAAGCTCAGATCTGGATGTATCAAAGTGAGAAAGGAGATTGCAGGTCTGACCTGACCAGAACAAACGGAAGGCAAACCGAAAGTCTACTTGATAATCATTGAGAAAGTTTCCAATAGGCTTTGGATCAGACCTAGAAAGACAAATGGAGCCTTAAAACTTCAAAGAGCATTTTAACATCCTTCTCAGTTGTGAGCTCTAAATTTGCTGTCTATCCACATGCAAACTCTTTTTAGCCAACTCTGAAGCATCTGAATATGGAGTTAAGATATGGGGCACAAGGAAGCTCTTCAGTTGCAGTATGTTTGGACCACGCACCCCAGGGTGGTAACTTTGTGTGCTTTACCTTAGGTGACACGTAGCAATACACTTTTTTAGGTTTCTTCACTTTCTCAGGAGTTTGGCTGTCAGAGGGAGAATCTTCATCCTCATCCTCAGTTGCAGTAGAGGGACGGCGCTGGGAGGAGCTCAGGTGAGTGGGTGGGAGGTGCCACTGAGTGTTGGTATAGCTAGAAGCATTGTAAAGATAAGCTTCAAAGTAAATACTGACACCTGAGGTGGAGACATTGCGTTCTACAATGTTCTTCTCGTTCTCTGTAGGAAATGGATATAGAAGAGCAGTGTAAAGCTTAATGCAACCAAGAACCAAAAGCAAAGATACTGCAGAAAAACACCAAATTAGATTTAAAGGACAACTACATCTCCAAAGGAAAACCTGGTGAAGTCAATCTCTAAAGAGAACCCAGGAGCAGGATGCAAAGATTTCAAGATACTAGTTTCTCCGTCTTAGCTTCAGAAAGTAGATGGTTCAAGAAAAAAGAAAGCATACAGAATCTCTCTCTGTCAGAACATTAGCCTGAAGCTATAGCTACATGACAGTCATATATGCTTCTGACTCGCTCCTTGAGAAATTGGGAATCATAAAATGGTGAAAAGGTATATCGTTTTCATACAGTGTTCTTCATCCATATAGCTTCATATACAATACACAATTGGCTCACTTACTATATGGCTCTGATATCAAGGACTAGCAAGCAATAAAAATTACTCGTCTCAGAGGTAAATCCCCTGAGATAAAGAAGGAAACACATGTGGCTTGTATCTGCTAAGGGAACAGAGAATAGCAGCCTTCAGAGAACCCCTTTGCCAGCAACAAATTCATTTAGATCAGCTTATTTGAATGAAGAGGCATTCTTTGAGCAATTAAGCATGGCTAGCATGCAGGGAAGCCACATTTAGCTCTGCCACATGAGTGAACATAGCATTTTGCAAGAGGGCACCTGGAGAATGAATACTGAGCAGCTCTTGACTCACCACTTAGGACAATGATGTCAAAATCACCATTGCTTATGGGCTGGTTCTGGTAGGAGATGCAGGCATGAAAACACCCCCTACGGTGCAAGGTGAGTCGCAAAAACACTTGGCAAGTTTGCTGATTGGACACCACAGACTTCTCAAACAAAACATCAGAGCTCTCATCTTCTTCTTGAGGACCCAGCTAAACAGAAAGCACATTAGCAAAGGGGGCAGTCTTCTCTAGCTCATCTGAAGGCAAGCAGCAATGGATGGGGGTCCCACTCACCTCATGGATGGAGAGGCTGTAATTGTGCTCATCTATCAAGGACACAGAATTGCTGGTGGGATTGTCATACTCATCTCTTGGAACAATCTGCAGGGTGTGCTGTTGCCCACAGGTCAACACCAGAGTGGAGAAATGGCAGACAATTTTGGTTTTGGAGGGAACAACCATCCCTGAAGATGACAAAAACAGTTTAGAGTCAAACACAGTCCCAGGTGCAGCTACAAAGAAGAAAGGAAAGCAAACAGGTGCACAATCCCCTTTAAAATGGGTAAAATCTCAATACATTCTAGGCCCCTGCATTCTAGAAAACAAAGTACCTGAGCACTGAAATGCATACGGTGGTGTGCAGAGTTTGCCTTGCGTCAAGCACTTAACACCAATAAAGTGAACCCAGTTACTACCTCTCCAGAATTCTTTTCTCCGTTCTAACCACCAGTTTGGGATCTCGCTCCCACTGCTGGTACAAAGTACAAATCTGCTGACATCCAAAGGAACATGCAAATTCAGTGTATCACACAAACTTTATCCCAAAGGTTATCGGAGTTAAATATGACCTTCCTTTTTCCAAAGGGGTATCTTACCATGCTTTGTATCCATTCACAGTGCAATTTAATGGAGGTACTTCTAAATGAACACGTACATGAAATACAAAAGATGCTGACCAGGGTCAAACAAAACAAAAACAGAAGGAAACAAATTTAAAATGGATATAAAGGAAACCTTTTCAAGACGTGTATGCTCTAAGAAATCAACCGCTTCAGAGGCTCAAAGGACTACGGTAGGGTATTCAAAAGAGTATAAAAGTCAAATCAAAACAAGCATTTTTAATTCAACATATAAATAACTCAATACTTTCACAAAAGACATCCTCTGACTACTGGATGGATCATGAAGAACTTACTACAAAAGGGAGAGTGCGACAAATGTTTAGGGAGCTTAAGCAGCACTAAAGACTTATTCTGTGAGGCAGTTTCTATTTTGCCATGTGTTGGTAATCACAAGCATATTTTAACCATGAGCCATGAGCCTGTTGCCGGGAATTTCTCATGGAAGAGGAAAATGGTGAGGGTAACCCCTTCCCTGCCACCTACCTATCTTAGCTGGAAAAACACATGCCTAACTGCCTCCGATACCTTCAAGTCTATATTGAATCATTACATGGCCACCTAGACCTTACCTGGCTGAAACACCTTGTAGTAGGGGCTGTAGGCCACATTCAAGCCACGGAGTTTTATAGCGATCTCATATCTCCCAGCCCTGCGCACAGTGAAGGCCACTTTCACCACATTGGAATTAGGCTCCTGAAGAACTTCCTGGGTTACAGGAATATCAATTGCTAGCTCCACATGGCAGATGTGAACTCGCAGCCCCACAGGCCGGTGAATAGGGAAGGGCTGCCCATTCTTATAGAATAACTGCACGGGAAATGGAGAAGTCCAAATCAGCACAAATATGCAGTGCACAGAGGGAGAGAAAACAAAGAAGCAAAAAGGGCAAGAACCCCAGCTCAGCACAGGAAAAAAAAAAAACAGCCAGCTCTGTCACACAGGCTGCGTTCTCTCAACTGAACAGGGCACAAGTGGGGATTGAACAACCTTGCTCTCTTTTGGGCTGGGGTTCAAATGCGTGAACTGAAAAGAACATGCCTCCAGGCATTTCTTCTCTGCAGTGGTAGTGCTTATCAAAATAGAAACCAATAGAACCCACTACCAAAAGGAGAAAAAGTGAAGCGACATCCTTACAGGGAGAAAAGTAGGTCTTGTCCCCTTGTACCCAGCACAGCTCTGTAGAAACGCTCAACAATTTATTATAGAAAATGGTGTGTAGGAGACACTGACCTAAGGAGGTGACCCATCTGCGCTCATAAGCAGCAACAGCACGGAAACAATGTGTTAGACACAATCACAGTCAGCTGAACTACAAAAGTGATCTGACAGTTTTGGGAGGAATCACACCTCAACCAGCACTTCCTTGCAAGGAAAGAATTATACCTCAAAGCCCTAACCGCATAGCTCTTCAGCTGGCAGACTGTGGACCAGATCCTGCCTGCCATCAGCAGACAACCTGCAGACAACCAGCAAAAACTGCTATTTTTCCCTGCTCTTAAATAGGAGAGGACATAAGGCCTGAAGTAGCATGTACTTTGATTGACAGGGAGAGTGACCAGTGCATGCAACGGCTACTGTTGATGAATAAAGGACTGAGCAAATGGGAGACAGGCATGGAGCGGATGGGCAGATATTTGGAGCTCCCAAGAGCGAGAGTCAGTGAGTGGAGGGAATAAGTTTAAATACCAGAAACAGAACAGGTCCCTTTCCCCTCAGCTCTTTTTCATTGCCTGCCATGGGGTCAGAACTCCTCCTCCCTCACATCGAGCTGAAGGGTTTTTCCTCACCTTTCTGAGAGGGATGAATACGACAACTTAGCTGAACTTCCCTTCTTATTCAGGTACCTTTCTGGGTGAGGTAGGTGGAAGGAAAAGCACATGAGCCCAGGAAAAACCTGTTCAGACTTTCTCCACAGAACTTCAAACCCTCAGCATTCAGACTCCTCATCCATCTCATTTTTATGCTTGTCCCATTCCCTCAGATTTGGCCTTTTGGGATTGGGAGAAAAAAAAGGTCCTTGGCCAGCTTTTCCACATCACACAGACTAATGCTCAGCTACGAAGGTACTCTTTTCTGGAGAAATGGGGCAGGGAGGGGCCACGAGGCTTTGTAGTTCTTGGGTAGGTAAAGCGCCCACTCCCAGGCTCCCAACTTCAGCTCCAAAACCAAAAGACAGCAACAACTTTTGAAGGCAAGGCCTGGCCCGCTCACTTCCCAGTAAAGAAAGCAGCAGATAGGACAACCCTGGACCCTTTGGACCTTCAGAGGATTCTAAAGTGACAGAGATAAGATTTTAAAGGAGTGCAAATCTCACATGCACTCAGAGTTCTGCAAGATGCTTGGAGGCTGACGACACCAACAGATAGCTTTCCTACTCCTAGGTTACGCCCAGCTTGGCCCCAGTAAAAACCGTTTGAAGAGTCTATCCCTAAGGCAGACCCTGCTCTACCCCCAAAGCTGTGCAGAAACAGAAACATTCCCTTACATGCACTCGGAAGGCCATGCTATGGCCCACCTCATAGGGGTCCTTCCAATCCCAGGAGATTTTGCAGGACCGGGCGTCCAGGTAGTTGCCTCGCACGTAGTCATAAATAGTTCGCTCCTCTCGGCGTTCCCGGTCCTCATGCTGAAGGAAGCTGACTATACGTGCGGCAAGCTCAAAGAGGAACTTAATGGTGAAGAAGGCGGCTACCACAGACACTGTGATCCCACCTGCAGCAAGGAGAGAACAGAGGGTGGTTACAGCAGCGTGGCTCAGGGTCCCCTCTCCATCAGCCCAGGATATCTTTTATTAATGACATTCTACTCAGCCACAAATTAGGGGTTTAATGCAGAAACTACTGAGTGAATATTTATGGTGTGTGTTACGTTAGAAGTTAGGTTACAGGATAACAGAAGTCCCTTAAAACCTGGAAATAACTGCAAGTTGAGGAGAAACAGGTAAAGATGATAGAGAATCTCAGGAAGGGCCAGGACACATCCCAACATACGTGTACAACTCCCTCTGAGGGAACAAACTAGAACTACAGAGATTCCCTCAAGAGAAACAGATAACCACACAACCCCTGCACATTGCATTAAGACTGGATTTAGAAGCAACACGGAGGCAACAACCTTGCACTAGTTCTCAAAAGAAAAAGGAAGGGAATGGCTTAAGGAGTTTGTCTGGGAACAAAAACAATGATGGACAGGCAAGTCTGCCAGGTGGGGGCACAGTGCAGGAAGACAATAACTTCATGTTTGTTAGGTAGACGCTAAACTAACATGGAAGCAAAAGCTTTCAAGAAACCCCTCTGAAGCCTACGGAGAGGCCCACAAACACAGTGGCAGCCTTTCCTTCACTTACCAATAACGCAAAACATCAGGTCCCTTCGGTGAGACACACAGCCGAGGATCACAGCTGCATCTAGAACACAAAATAGGCCAAGTCCAGTCCAACGACTCTTCCTCAAACACGTTGGCCTAAACTTAATGCTTGATTCCTCAGGCGAATACCTAGGCCCTGCAACACCACAAGTCTCACACAAATGCCTCATCTGCCACGACACTTGAAGTGTCTCAGTGAATCCAGAGAACATTTATCTTCCCCTCCAAGGACATCCCTAAAGTATTATTCCATGAGGCTGTGAAACATGCAAAAACTCAGCATGCTACCAAGAACAATTCTCTCACCATCATGGATTATTTTTCAGATTCAGCAGTCTGAAAGGAGGATGATACGTTATCTACTGAAACCAGCAGGAGTGCACTCTGGGTACTGCAAGAAGCAGCTGCCTGTTGCAGGACCACTGACTTCAATAGCAGCAGCTGAAAGCCACTCAAACTCTTACACCTACAGGAAGGAAGTCAAAGATTGCATCTAGTCTACTACGAAGGTGAATCACAGAGAGCCACCACCAAAACAGAAAGAAGCTGACCCTCAACCAGCAACCTTAGAAGAAAAGCTATGGAATAAAAGGGCTGTGGATAAGACCGCTCCTATTTGTTCAAACCAAACAAAATCCTTTCAGGGCAGGGCTGAACACATATTCCCCTCTGTAAGTTTACTATAGGAAGTTTGAATGCGACTGGAAAATGGTCCTCCTTTATTTTCCTACTCAATTCTGCAACATGCAAACTGCCCACATCTGCAATTCTAAAAGTCTGCACCTAACTCTCAGAAACCCAAGAGGCCATGGAGAAGTACACTGATCAATGCACAAGCTAAAACCTTGTTTTTTGTATGCTATTAAGATGACAGCAATTCTCAGAGACACTAGTCTAGAATCAAGTTCTCACTGAGGGGACTGTTAAACAAACATGTAGTAAAAAGACTACATCCACAACAACATACTGTTTGGTTGCTCAGACATAGCTGACAGATGAAATGAGCAGCAGCAAGGAATGTGTGTGACAATCATACAAAGAATTTGGCATACACTCATGCATACAATATAGCTTACCACCTCACCATTCGCCTAGTGAGAAGCTACATTGTGCATTCAAGTTGTTTTTTCTTTTCTTTAATAAACACAAACGGGGAATTATTCATCAACTATCTCAGCAGCAGCAGACACCAGCATGCAGAAAGCTTAAGCTAGGCATTTCGCCCCCAACAACAGCCATCACTTTCTAGCCCAGCAAATCCCCTTTGCTGGCCTCCAGTGACAGCTGCACGTCTTCCATCCCTCTGAACCAAAGAGCAATCGCATACCTTTATACAAGTGCCCATGTTCTAAAAGCTAAAAGGGGAGTACCCATTCTTCAGCATCCTTCCCATTTGTGCCCAGCACTGGGATATATGTCAGCAAGAAGAGGCCATGGAGAAGTTCATTACAGATAAAGAGACTCCTGGAACTCGCATCACAGAATCACTGCTGAAAGCGAGGACACAGCAATTTCTTCCTCTTCGTTGAAAAGGGCTGCCCTGCAACAATACTCCCTGAAGCCTGTTTTTTGCTGGCTTTCCTGGAAAAGGAAGAAAAGGAGACACATCAGTTGAACCTCTCCATTGTTGTGGACAAATTTAGCAAGTAGAAACATGCAAGAGGTGTAAAATGCAAGAGTCTTCACCACCAGATGTCAAAGCCACAGAAGAGGTGCTATGAAGGTATCAAAATGTCATGAAGTGCTTGGCTTCACCCCAAACTCTACACGCCACAATCTCATTTCATTATATGGCCCCCTGAAACTGAAAGGTTCAAGATGGAACAAAACACATCTGGCCTCCCTAGGGTTTAGCAGGCTGAAGGGTTCCACAAAGTTGACAACTACCTGCATGCTATTTAAGAGGAGTGCTAAAGATCAGGTACTGCTTGAAGCCTTCACACCCCACAAAATACCACGTACTACCCCCCAAGTTAATTTTGCTCAGGTCTAGAGGGCCATTTACAGTTAAGAATGATAAATCTTTGAAAGTTCTTGGACCCTAAAGCAGATATGACAGATTTTTGCTGATGATTTAGATGTTCCAGAAACAGGTAAAGCATTTCAGTTTCAGAAGCACTACGGACTAAATTACAGTTTACTGTCCAGACTGAGACAAAAATCTAGCAAGAATTGATGCAGCCCACAAAAAACGGGACATATGCCAGACAGAGCCTACCCAGTCTGTATCTATTCATTCAGGACACAGGTTATATAAAGGAGCGAGAACGAAATTAGCAGCAGGCAAAGGCTTACCACAGTGGCTTTCTGTAAAGAGAACCACCACTTCTGAGGATGTAAGTGATGTGCTCCGCTCGCCTGCCATGTCACAGCACCATCTGCCACTTCCTCCTTACTCCTCCATCACCTGCCTTCCCCTTTGGAAGATGTCTCTCCATCTCATTAATTACACAGAGCCTGCTGTCTTCGCACGCTTCCACTCGGACATTAAGCTTTCTAGCTCATATTAAAACCAACAGGTGAGTCTGTGCAGAGTTCTTCAATTGCGCTATAGAAGAAGCCAGACTCCTGCTGCCTTTTCTTCCCTCACAGCTCAAGGAAAATCCCATCTACTCTACAATTTTCTTCTTTCCTCTGGTTGAGCAAACAACGATCAGTCCCCAGCGCACAAGTTCTCATTCTCTTCCTAGATGAAGCTTCAGGTTTCTAGACTCTTTCTCTCTGTATTAAGAATCACAGATCTATCAATTTCCTTGAAATATTAGTTCTTTCCCAGTATGTATCCAAGATGTCATTGGAAAGTGCACAATGCTCATTGGTCTGCGCTACAAACGCCTGTTTGGAACTCGTCTCTGATTGGGCCTGTCCGTGAAAGACGGGCACCTCCTCCCTGCACAGCTGAGGAATTTCACAGAAGCTTACCGCTGTTGGGGAATCTGTGAAGACCTCCTTCCAGCATCTTACAGAACTCACCTCTTCACATCACAAAACATTAACAAAAAAATTGGTTCATCTACCCAAACTATTTCTGCTTCAGTCTATAAGTCTTTCCCTTCTACTATAAGACATACCACAGTCTCTCTTAAGATAGGATAAAGAGAGAAAGACCCACAGTTTCGGCTATAAGGCCTTTGAGGCCAATACAAGCCTGGGTCACTTGCCCTAGGTTACAGAGTTGCAGAACTAATTCCCTGCATCCAACAAGCCATCTCCCTCAATCAGACAGCAACTTCTCATTTTATTATCTCTGCATGAAATGGTAGGCAAGGAGCGAAGTCAGGTGGCCCATGGGGATGCAGTGACTGTCATATTCACAATCAACTTCCTTCTAGCATGTTCACTGGTACCAGCTTCAGTGATGCTTTTGCAGCTGGGATACACGAGGGCAAAATTCCTAATTATGTGTAGCTGGTATCCAAGATATGTTGCTATTCCCTTACCAGAATGAAGATCTAAATCAAAATAGTAACCGTACTAAGAACCACCAGCTAACATTCTAGGAAACTAATTCTGAACAACAGCGATATAACGTGCCATCATAGCTGGACAGAAAAATATGCTAAGTTGTCCTACAGGTCTCAGTGTTCTTGATCCAAAGACACAGCAAGTGATGGTCTCCTGCCACCTGCAGGGAAAATAGGGATTTGGAAAACTTACTCTTGGTTTATCTCAAGGAAAAGTACCTTCATAATTGGGATAGGCAGCATGGAATCATAAAGTAAACTATATTAGTACCACGACAAGTAAAAATTATTCCTGTTGAGAGAAGTATTATGGCTGCTGTGAAGCCAGAGGAACAGAAGGCAAAACTCCAGAAAGAAGCCCAAGCCTAACTGTACTTAGAAAAGAAGCATAACACAGCAATGGTACAGTTATGCGGCTACAGTCACAGAGCCAGCAGGGGCCATACTATTCTGAACAGATTTAGTAAGGCCCTAGAAAGTCTTTTGTGCTTCTTGTTCTATTGGTGTTACTTTCTTTTTCCCCTCCCTTGAGAGGTTCCAAAATTAAGATGGGTTTAAAAGATTTTTACAATTTGCCACCACCTCATAACAAAAGAGATGAGAGAACTCTTCATCTCTGAACAGAATACCCTCTCTATCCATGTAGCAAAACATCTACTACTAATGGCCACAGACAAAAAAAAAATTTCCTTTAAGTGAAAAGGCCCAGTATTTTCTCACGTAAGTCAAACATGTATAAAGGGACAAACAGAAATGCCTAAGGGAACCTAACTTACTAACACATCCCACAGAATCCTGAAGAGTCACCTCAAAGAGCAATATCAGACTCCAATATCAGCTGTCAAGGACAAAAGCCACATCAGTGGCCAAGGTCCATACAAACAGATTCATCTCTCTCTCTTCAGGGCTAGAATTTGTCATATCCATTTATACACAATCCCAATATAGTACTGGTAACAGAAGGCAGGGAAAAAAAAAAAAAAAAGAGACCATTGCCAAGACCCTAAGTCAAGGACTCTTCATCCAGCTGAACAACCATTGAGGGCTGTGAGCTCCTCCCCTCCCCAAACACAGAAAGCCAGCCAGATGGCAATTTTCAGGTCAGGCTCCTTCACCTCTTATCCCGACACCACATTGGCTTCCCAAGCCAGAGCAACGTTCAGCCACTTGCCATTCTACACGCTGGTGGGGAGAGTAGACTGTCCGTTCGATCACTTCTTTCATCAGAACCATTTAGGTCATCTTGGCAGCACAAGCAAAGGTCCACCAACTGCATTTCCTTACCCAACAGTTAAGTCCAGTACTATCTGCCAGATGGTGAGTTCATCCCCGCAGTTTCCTTAATGCACCCAGTTCTCCTTGCAGTCTGATTTTCTTCTTCCTGCTAGAACCTCAGTCATGGTTCTGCTGAGGACAATACTTCAGGAAGAAACTGCTGAGTCGTGTTGTTGCTCTCTGTGTCCTTGCTTTTTCTGACCAGCAAGACAGACAAAACCAGACTGCATTTGAAAGATACCAACAGCTATGTGTTCTCACTAATCCCAGAAACCTGCACAAAAAAAAGATACCACAGTGAGGCCTAGCTCACCCTTCCCTGAACAGGGCACTGAAAAACAAGAACCAAAGTCTAGCCTGAGAACCGTAACAATATTTCCATATACAGCCAGAACAGATATTTCAGGTCACATTGTGCCATTACTGCTGCAGAAGGCACACCTGAATGCTCATTCATTAGGACTGCAGGTCATGAGCATTTAGCTAGAGTCAAGGTCCTGCAAACCCAGGGGTACATTAATACTTCAGAAACAAGCTAGCCAGACAAGCAGAAGAAGGGCGACAGAAGGCCTCCCTAACCAACCCGCGCTGTGAAAAAGAGAAAAGAAAGTGGCAGTAAGGGCAACTGGTACGGTGCGCTTTCTCTTTCTCCAACCCGCACCACCTGAACATGACAGGTGTCAGGGTCACCAAAGCCTGTTCCCTTTTTGCAGAAACCAGCAACATTTGACACAGTTGTAAAATCAGACTTCACACCCCCAACCAACTTAACATCTCACCAAAACACGTGACAACACCAACCAACTACACTGAAGAGGAAGCTGGAGGTTTCTGCAGTTTTCACTGAAGGATGCCGAAAGCTAACCTTTCAAGTTCACAGTGCAGCCAGGATCTAAAGAGGTGCCTATTACCAAAGGCAGTCAGATTTTTTTTTCCCCCTTCTCCTTTCTTCCTCAGGTGCCTCCGAGCAAGGAAGCTAACCTCGGCCTGCCCTCAGGCGCTAAAGGAAAAGGCGGAGCCCGCCGGCGGGGGATGCTGCCCTCC